AGTTGCAGTTCCGCGAAGGTGATAGATGGAATATCGGGTAGGATGACTGTCCCCTCGAGGTCCTCGTGGGAGACGAAGGTCGACCCGGCATAAAGTGCGACACCATTTAGACGTGCGACTGAGAATGGCGGCATATGGAGCAAACCTGTGTGAGGCAGCTGGGTGATGTTGGTATTCAGCCGTCGTCCTTGCGCGTCCGTCAGCATCAGGTTGGTAGGGTGCTGGATGCTGAATGCCCAAGTGTGTCCGCTACGGAAGGACACGAAGGTGGGAGGAGGGTTCTTGATGAACCTGAGGTAAGGCTCGCAGAGGGTCACGGCCTTCTTGCTGGAGAGCAGCAAGGCCATCGCGCAGGTGTCCTCCTCCTCATGCACCGGGACGGCTGGAGCGCAGATGGGCGTTTCCGGACTCTCGTGACAGCTCAAGAGGTCCTTGTCGGAGAGCAGAACATGGGATTTCTGCAGCTCGTCCACTCCTATCCATTTGGACTCTGGCTTATAAAACGAAAATATGTCCGAATTGTTGATTTTGTGGGGAAAGGGTGTAATTTCATAAAGTTTAAATTTCCGGGATGTGAATACCAAGGGGATGTGTACGTGTAAGTACAACGCATCCGCGGTTACCACCGGAGTGACTTTCGCCACTTTATAATAATAATCCATCCTCGTTGCCAAAGCCGGAACCGGAAGTTGGATGCCAGGGGGAAGCTCCTTGCTAAGCCGCGATAGCAGGCTAGCAAGTCCTTCCGCATCCACGAATGACGGGCTTAGGGCTCCATCCAGTACTGCAAATTGAAAGGCCATTAAATACAACCGGATCTCACTCCTTACCTGGGCAATCAGTGCCGAGGGGGCATCAACTTCGACTATTCACGGTGCACCCGCTGGTTAATATCTAATAGGTATTCAGGTGATATTTGCGAATATTCACAAGATATTCAAAATATTCATCGATATTCATCGATATTCATCTATATTCATCGATATTCATCAATATTCAAGGATATTAATCAACAATCACAGTGAATATTCACTGGTATTCAGTAATATTCACTGGTATTCAGTGACATTGAATATTTGAATATATTCACAGTTCACCAAATTTCCAAGTTGGTTCCCCCTCGATCAGTGCGTGGAGACGGCGAATTTTAATAGCGTATTCCAGGAAACGCTGCTCGTGGTCCAGGGCTTCACTGTAGTGCTCTCTGATGGCTTCTTTGAGGGCGGTGATCATGCGGTCGTGGGTGAGGAAGCGAGCCAAAGTAACGTTGGCCAATCCAGTTTGGGCAGCCTGCAGTACTGTGAGACCATCTATTTTGGTCTTCATCTCATTGTACTTATCTTGCAGCTGCGACCGGTCGTCGCTGTCCATTACGCCGAATACGGAGTGCATGACCCCACGCTTGGATCGAGCTGGGGTGGTAGGGAGTGAGAGCTGCGTCAGATCGGTGTCCAAAAACTCCTTGGGCACCATAATGCCGTAGGGTGACGCATATTGCCCGCTGGAAGCTAGAGGGGTGTCCAAAGGGTGAGAAGAGGGTGGAAAATCGGGAAAATCCTGGGGAAGGGGTTGTCCTTGTTGCGGTTCACGGGCAAGGAACGAAAAATCGTCAGGCAGATCCGGGAAGTTGTCGGGGTTTTCGGAAAAAGGGGTGGTTTCCATGTCTGGAGGTGGGAAAGTAGGGTTGTGAAGATCGGGGTTGCGAGGGAGCCAAACGGGAGTTTTAGCATTATTAGGCATACTGCCTACACTCTCCTGTCGCCTTTGAAATTCCCACGGCCTCCTTTTCCTGGGGGCCGCAGTGGTGGCACGGAAGGGGTCCTGGTACCGAACCGGAGGCCTTTTCCGGGCCGGAATAGGGGGCAGCCGGAAGGCGTCCTGGGGCGCAGCGGTAGTGGTGGACCAGAAGTCCGGGCCGCTGACAGGTGTGAGAAGCTTGTCGTTGTCGTCCGTGACCTTAGCCGGAAAGAAAGTCGTAATGGAAGTGGGAGGGACGGGAGAGAAAGGACGCGACGCGTCAGAAGGTATAGTAGAGAGGGTAACAACCGGTGCCGACGGCGCGGCGGAGGTGACGAGGCACGGTGGCGCCGCAGTAGTGGAGAGGGGTGCGGGCTGCACAGTACAAGGGGGCGTCACAGGCGTAGGGGTGTCAGTGGTGGTCGTTACAGTCTTGGGTTTAGGCGTGGTCGTTGTCGTCGTCGTAGTTGTCGTAGTTGTAGTAGTGGTCGGCCGTCGAGTGGTGGTGGTTGTGGTGGTTGTAGGCCGGGGAGTGGTGGAAGTCGTTGTCGATGGCTTGCGGGTGGTTGAGGTCGTGGTGACCGGTAGAGGGGTAGTGGGGGCAGAGGTCGAGGCAGGCGCGGTGACGAATTGCGGGAGCACATGCCGGGGAGCAGGACGAGAGGTAGTGGTGGAGGAGGTGGTTGTAGGCGAGGCCGCAGTAGTACGTG